ACTGTATATGCAAAAGGGTTCATATTTGTTGTCTGTACTGCCCATGTAACTCTCTATGTCTTTCTCATCCTCAATGCTGCCATATTGGTCACTCACTGAATGTGAGTTTTTTTTAAAAAAGATGTAACAAAGTTGATTAGATTCATGAAATTTTGTTGGAGATTCTTTGAGATTCATCTAGTCCACTCATCATTTTATAGTTGAGAAAACTAAAGCATACCACTCCAGTGTTTTTTTTCCTATAAATTATTAAATAAAAACATCAGAAAATTAAAACAGCTAACCCCAAACTTCACCATCCTAACAGAGCCTTTTTAAAAAATTCTGGAGCATTTGATCTCTTGCTCTGGAAGAAACATTAAACTTTGTCATTCTTTGACTGAATGACTATCAGGACTCTTCAGTCTCCTGTAATTACCTGTGCCCTGTAATTTTGTATTCCCTTTATATGAGCCTATTTCATTTGTGCTCCATCTTCTCTTTCACGGCATGAGTTGTTAATTTCAGAGTAAGAGAGTAAGAACTTGATACACCCAGTAGTCAGAACTGCTGCCGTTGACAGCATCTGTTTGGTTTTATTATGGCACCAGAATGTGACCCTAAGTACATAAAGAATATGTGTACCAAAATGTTGAACTTTCTATTGGCTGATAGACTTATATTGGAAAGTTGTCCGGAACCCAGTATGCCATCATTAATAAGTATAACGTAGAAAAAAATATAGCTCTTTGGTCTCATTGTGATGTTACTTGAATTAGAAAGCCTTGAATCAGAAAGCCTTGAATAGAGATTTCTACCTCCTATATTATCCTTTAACATGGGGCCTTGTTATCATACCTGGCGTCTAACAGAATGTATGCCATCTCCATCGTTTTTAGCTTTGTTTCAGATAAAGGTGAGATAAATTTTTCTAAGAAATACTCCCAGAGTGATAGCCTCATTATTAGCATTCATTTAATACCATCCACCTACCTCATTCCCCTAAGACTGCAGGTTTTTTCCTTTTCACACAGAAGTGTGTATTTTTCTGTTTTTGTTTTTTGTCTGTACAGTGGGTAAACCAGACAGGTGCAGCCTCACAGAAGTCTTTCCGTTTAGCAAGATCAGAACTAGAGCTCAGTTCACATCAGCACAGGATGCGCATCCAGGACCAGGAGTTTCAGGAAGGATTTGATGGTGGCTGGTGCCTCTCTATGCATCAGCCTTGGGCTTCCTTGCTTGTCAGAGGGATTAAAAGGTAAGAGCGGAAATGATTCTTGGCAGTTGAAGATTTCTAAAGTGATATAAACTTGGTTTCGGATTATAGACTGAAATTAGTTTTCCTTAATCTAGTGATGATTTATAATACTCTCTAGTACATAAGACTTTAAGCAATATATTTATGTTACTGACTTGGTGGTGGTGGTGGTGGTGGTGTTATGTGCCATCAAGTCGGACCCGACTCATAATGACCCCTCCTTGGGTTTCCGAGGCAGTATCACTACGGAAGTAGATTGCCCAACCTTCCTTCTGAGAAAGAGATGGTGCGGTCTACCTGGCAGGGAGTGGCTGGTGGGTTTGAACTGCTAGACTTTTGCTTGGCAGGCGACTTGCCTTAGGCCTGAGGCCATCCCCTGGGCCACTGACTTGGTTGTAATTTTTTATTGAATAGCTTAAACAGAAAGAGTAAGAACCTGAGTCATAACAAAGAATAGAATATCACTTTTTTAAATCTTTGGAAGGGTATCTATTAGTTTTGCTTTTATAATATATTACCCAGCTACCTTAATGGTTTGATCCTATTGGAAGTTTAGTTATTTTATGCCTATTTATTCATTTTTTTAAGATACTAGCCTGTAATTTTGTTTTTCCGTTTATATATCTGTCAACTAATCTGGATAACCATATTGAGAAGCTTTTTTTTTTTTTTTTAACCATAAATTCCTTTACTGTAAAAAGTAGGGGAAGTGGTAAGGAACAAATAGAAAGTGTCATAGAAGTTGAGTAGTTGTGCTTGTTAGCGATGGTAATGGTTTACTATTCCATGGTTTCATATGCTTCTTCATAATTCAGTTTTTTTAAATAGGATTTTTTTTCCTTCTGTAAATATAAATAAAAAATTGAAAAATACAGAAAATTAGCTAAAAAAGAAATGTCTCCCATTATCCCATCAGCTAGAAACAGCTACTGTTAGCATTTGGAGTGTTTATTTATGTTCTTTTTCCTATGCATATTGTTACTTTGTATGATCCTAATATGCATTTGTATTTATGTCTTTTTTCTTTCACTTATCATTACAACATACTAATTTTCCCTTCTTATTTTGTCTATGAGAATTTTATATGCCTGGCAGTATCCTAACTCATAATAGCAATAATGCCTTATATTTAAATAGAATTTCACGGTTTTCAAAGCAGTTGTATGAAATAGGTTAGCCCAATGGTATTACTGTCTTTGACAAATTAAATTAGTGGCACAGATGGAACTAGAGTTCAGGTTTTCAAAGTGCTATTTCCACTTTACTGTGCACCTTTAGTCCCTTTCTTGAAGAGAAAATGATCAGCATTTAGAAACAATCATTTTCTACTTTGGTGGTTTCACTATTAGCTGTGATTTCTCCCCTTCATTAATGTACACTACTTTTTTCTCCCCTCCTGAAGGTAAGACTTACTTTCTTTGGCTCTTAATTGTTTCATATCTGTGTGTGCAGTGCCATGAGAACAAGTGCACAACAATCTGCTTATGTCCTGGGGCAGCTGGGCCTCAGATATCTGTTTTTCTCATTCAGTTCTCTGCAATTTAGGTATCTTTCTTTTCTAAAGTAGAAAACTAAACAGCTTGCCTTCTGCTGAGGAAATAGAATGTATATTTCTCTTATCCTATTTTAGATCTGTGTTATTCATATTTTCTCACTGGAAAGCACAGGATGAGCAGCATCCAGCCCACAGTCACTTAACTTACAGAATTAAAGTGTATGGTTCTACCATCTTTGTGAGACTATTTTCCCAGTAGCCCTTCAGGTTTTTGGGTGTAGAGCGTAGACATATGTTGATTTATTTCCCATTTATTGAGCACCTACTGTCTTCCTGGTACTTTTCTACTTGATCTAAATTGGAAAACCAGGGAAATGAGAAATTCACAACTTTATTTCCCACTATAAAAATGTATATGAAGGGTATATACCAAAGCACTTTTATATGGTAGGAGGTAAAGAGAAACGTTGTCTTGTAACTGTTGGTGAATAGCAAAGTGATTAAATTCTCTTGAATGCATTCTGTTTTTCCATTGAAAGATTCTTTGAAATTATCCAAAAAAATATAACCCTGTACACAATACTTAGAAAATATAAATGAGTGTGGTTGCAATTTAACAAGTAAAGATGATGGACATTTTTATTTGCTTCTTCTTGTTAGTTGCTATCAGGGAGGCCTCTGTCATGGCAACCCTATGCACAGTGGAACAGAAGGCTGCCGGGTCCTGCCCATCCCCATGACTGGCGACAGATCACACCACTATAAACCATATCATTTTCACTGAATGATTTTTAGAACTAGATTGCCAAGCCTTTCTTTCTAGTTCATCTTAGTCTGGAAGCCTTGCCTGAAACCTCCTGTTAAACATTCTATTAAATAATAATGATAAAAGTACCACTTAGGTACTTTAGGGGAGTTATTTATGTTTGAGGATGATTTTTCTATCAGACTAAAGGACAATTAATCAACAAATATTCCAGGAAAAAGTTCACCTTTGACTCAAAGAAGGCCAAGGACTTTCATTTATGTAAGTGGATGCCTTGAAAGTATTGGATTTGAATTATAGAAACCCCAAAGCTAGTGAGAGCTTCCAGGTCTGAGTAGAGGGATCAGGTAAAAAGTGTTGAGGAGTTGAGATTGATGAGTTGTATTTGTTGTGATGAACAAAAATCAGAGAATGGTGTTCATCCTCAAGTAAAGGATATGTTGGGGAAAAAAGTGTTTTTCACAAAAAAATATCCCTCTTGGTAAGGATCTCTAGATCCCACTGGATAATTTTCTATAGAGGTTGTTGGATGTTATTTGATCCTACTATAGGAAACTAGAATTTATACACTTCCTATTAAATTTGTATTTGTTTAAGAGTGGAAGGCAGAACCTGGTACACCCCTCACAGAGGACGACTTTGGATAGCAGCCACAGCCAAAAAACCCTCCCCTCAAGAAGTTTCAGAACTTGAGGCTACATATCGTCTTCTTCGTGGGAAAGGTAACAGCCATATACTCTCCTTTCATTTTTAACTTTGTGGAGAGAAGTCATTGATTTTCATCTTCTTTCACTTCCTTCTTCCTGTGACTTTTTCTTGGCTGAAATGGGATTTTAAACCTTGTGTTTATTGTCTGTTTAATGGCAGATCATAGACATCTGTTCAAAGCAGGGATGCGAACTGGTTCAGTCATGGCTGATGAAGTGAAATTGAAACAAATTTGGGTGATCCAGAATGCAAACCAGCTAACAAGAATGGGAAAAATCACAGGCCAAAACTCTGCAGTGGGAAAGATATAGTGAACCCTTTCAAAAGCCTGATGTGTGACTTAGATTATTGCCAGGACAGTGGAGGGACACACATTCAAAGCAGCATGGTTGGCTGCTATCTTTGAGCTGGGCACCATTGTTTTCTACTCAACCAGTCAAGAGATTTGGTTGCTATGCAACATGCACACTGCCTTTGTTTTCTAAGAGGGAAATTAAGTTTCCAGCAGGGCTTTGACTTGTAATTTTTTCTGTATCAGTTAGCGTTCTGGTTTACACACATTTTAAAAATTCAGATTTGTTCTGGTGATGCTTCATTGGCCAGGACTAAATCAGTTTGAAGCCTTGGTTCAAAGCACTAATTTGTCAAATAGTGCGAATAGAAATAGTTTCCAACACCAGAAATTAATAGTTTTATTTTAAAAAAAACTTTCATCTTATTTATTATGAAGATAAAATGAGTACTGTAGACATTGGGAAGAACAACCACAATTAAGAATTTTTTGTCTAAATGACCCAAATAGAAACCTGCTATCAGATTTGGACAGATAAAAGTTGACTGACAAAAGCAACATGTTTTGGGAATCACCCACTAAATTTTGGGTCCTAAACAATACTTCTGGTCCTTGGACATCCTGTTTTCTTTCCTCTTATACAGTTTTTTTTTTGAAGGTAGAATGAGAAAATAATTCAAGTTTTTAAGAAACTAAGCATAAGGAATCACTAGGAATCAAGAGGAATCAATTAAGAACACATTTCTGTTCTGACTATTTCAACAGCTTGTTTTAAATTTTTCTGCCATTTTTATGGTTTTATTACTAGAAAAGGAGATTATATTTTCTTGACACATGTAGCTACCTTTCTTTGTTTCCAAAACCTATCACCAACAAACTTCAGTTTGATCCAGTTCAGTAGAATAGAATCAATTTGTTTTTAATGAAGTTGTGTGGTCCTTGAACTTTGATGGTGTGAAGGCAGTAATTTTCTAAAGAAAAAATTTTCTAGCTTAGCATGTGGATGGTAGAATAATCAAGCCACTCACTGGACTTTTCCCGTTGTGCGAAATAAAAACCTCATTGTTCCTTATGTCTACAAATAGATAATGGAAAAAATGATTTTTCCAGAATTGAAAACAGAGTTGTGAGTTCCAGGGTCACAAAGAAGGAAATTCATCTAGTCCTTTTGCTACTTTTGATTCAGGTTTGGAATTTCCCAGTGACTATCCATCAGGTTGTCTTCTTGGCTGTGTGGACCTAACTGACTGTTTGTCCCAGAAGCAATTTAAGGAGCAAGTGAGTAAAGAATACTTCTCTTGGACAAGTGCTTGATTTATCACCATAAATGTATGCCTCCATGACTGATTTGTAGATCCTTCTCCATTGAATATCTTGGAGATAATAAAGTCGTAGCAATTTTGTGTTTAGACATATAGGGAGAACCTTTTTTTTGGTGGGGTGTGTGTGAAAGTTTACAGAGCAAATTCATTTTCGATACAGCAGTTCATACACACTTTGTCTCATAACATTGACTGCAGTGCCCCACAATATAACAGCTCTCTTCCCACTTCCTCCCTGTAGTTACCTCTTCCCTGTGTCCTTCCCTCCCATGCATTCTTGCCCCCTGAACTCTCTCCCTGTGCAAACACTGCCCTTTTGTTCTCCCATGATTGATCGCTCTAAGGAATGTATCTCCTGATGTAATTGTTCACCCCATATGCCTGTCTGTTGTTTGGCTGGAAGCCACAGGAGTGAGTTCAATTCCAGACCTGAAGGGTGGCTAGGGCCATAGACTCAGGAGTCTCACCAGGCTCTATCAGACCGGCAAACCTGGTCTTTTTTTTTTTTTATGATTTTGAGTTTTGTTCTGCAGTGTTCTCCCACTCTATCCAGGATCTCCTCAGAGTGGCTAATAGTGGTAGCTAGGCACCATCTAGTTCTTCTGGTTTCATGGTCATATAGGCTAAAGATCACATGGTCTACCAGTCCATTGAACTTACTGTTTGCATGTGTCTTTGGTTATCTATGTTCTTCTTTGCTCTAGATGAGGAGAGACCCGTCATTGCATGTAGATGGCTACTTGCAAGCTTGTAAGATGCCAGTCACTACTCATCAAAGTAGTATATAGAACAATGTTTTTGTGTAGTATGGTGTACCAATTAAGTTTGATGTCCCCTGCGATCATGGTCCCAAGCCCACAGATCCAACTACTTGCTGTGAGAAGAGCCCTTTAATAAGGAGATATTGATAAGAGAAAAGACAAAGGCAGAAACAGAAAAACTTAGTGATGCTTTGATTTTTAGTGTCTGGACTAGTGCATATACATTTCTTAAAAAAAAAAGAAAAGAAAAAGAAAAAGACCTGTACAAAGAAAACTATAAAAGACTACTTCAAGAAACCATAAGTGATCAACATAAATGGAAGAACATACCTTGCTTGTGGATAGGAAGATTGAACATTGTGAAAATGTCAGTTCTACCTAAAGCATTCTATACATTCAATGCAATCCCAATCCAGATCCCATCAGCATTCTTTAAGCATATAGAAAAACCAATCACTAACTTTATATGGAAGGGAAAAAGACCGCAGATAAGCAAAGCACTATTGAAGAAGAAGAACAAAGTTGGAGGTCTCACACTGCCAGATCTCAAAACCTGCTATTTAACCACAGTAGTCAAAATTGCCTGGTATTGGTATAATGACAGAAATAGCCAGTGGAATAGAATTGAAAACCCAGAAATAGATCCCTCAATCTATGGTCAGCTGATCTGTGACAAAGGGCCAAAATCCATTAAATGGGGAAAAGAATGCCTGTTTCATAAATGGTGCTGGCAAAACTGGATATCCATTTACAGAAAAGTGAAATAAGAAATAAAATCCATACCTCACACCATACATAAAAACTAACTCCAGATGGATGAAAGACTGAAATGTGAAACCAAAAACTATAAAGTTCCTTAAGGAAAAACTAGGGGCAAATTTAGGAGCCCTAATATATGGCATA